GCTGCTATCATAACGTTGTTTGGGTCACAATCTGCAGATTCATGAAAAGGAAGAAGAGGAGATGAATGAGAAGAATGATAACGCCAGCTGTCTGAATGAGGAGCCTCTAATCACAGCGGACCAGGTGTGTGTGTGTGTGTGTGTGTGTGTGTGTGTGTGTGTGTGTGTGTGTGAATGGGACAGGAAACCTGAGCATGCTAAGCTGTTAGCCCACAAAAATGCAGTCAAATGCATGTGCTTCTTTTTGGTGGTGTCAAATTTAATTAGATATTTCGGCCAAAATTGCCAAAATATTCCAAAAAATGCAAGAGGACAAAATCCCATAGAGCAGATTGTGATCAAAAGAAAAATACCATTTTGAAGGATCAGGATAATCGCTGATTATGGCTTACATCTTAAGAAACCCAAATATCCTATCTCAAAATATTAGAATATCGTATTTTTTAGTTTTCTTCAGCTGTACGCCATAATCAGCGATACTAAAACAACAAAAGGCTTGCGATATTTCAGTTGATTTGTAATGAATCCAGAATGTATGACATTTCATGTTTTTTAATTGCATTACAGAAAATAAAGAACTTTATCACCATATTCTAATTTTCTGAGACAGTCCTGTATATGTTTTATATACTTTTTGGTTTTCCTTTTAGCAAAAAGCTGCTTCTTTAAGTGTCCTCTGACAGCTGGACAGCTGCATCCATCCCAACCTTTCTCCCCCTCTCTCCTCCGCCTCCAGGTCATCGAGGAGATCGTGGAGATGATGGAGAACTCTCCGGATCCCGGGGAGACGGAGGAGGAGGATGAGGAGGAGGTCAGCCACTCTTCCTCCCGCACCAGCCCCTCCCTGCTGGAGGAGATCCGGCAGCTGTCCCAGGCCTCCAACAACAACTGCTCCTACGAAGGTAAAGCTTACAGGAGACAGTTAACTTTAACCCTTTAAAGCCCCATCCAAGAACAATAGGAAGAATATTGGATTTTTTTTAGTCTGAAGTCTTTCTTTGGCCCCTCAACAACATATGAAGAAAAGAAAACAGAAATTATTTTGATCAAATTAGCGTGCAATAGGTAAAAAATAATAATAGGAAGAATATTGGATTTTTTTTAGTCTGCGGTCTTTCTTTGGCCCCTCAACAACATATGAAAAAAAAAAAAAAG